CATAATTAAATAAACAAGAACCAAAAAAAGAAATACTACGAATTGCACTTAAATTTTGAAATGAAACTGAAATTTGAAATATTATTTTATGCAATCTTATAAGTAATAATAATAATGAAACAACGGAAAATATTTTAGTAGAAAAGAATAAGAGAAGGAGTTATCCTTGTTGATGCTTCTATCTCTTATCAATCATCATTTTAAAACTAAGCAGGAAAACAGATCAATTACTATTGCATCAGGAAATGTTAATACTGTTAGCTAATATTGTTATTATTAAAAAAATACAAATTTATAATAATCTGAATTCAAAAATTTACATAAGTAATAATCTAAATTTGCATCAATGCATTCCTCACATTTCAATTTCATGATTGTTCAAAAATAAGTAAACATATGATATTATAAAAAAAAAAAATAATAATAATAGTAATAAGTGAAGTGAAACTAACAAATAAAATTTTTTTCTAAATTATTTGCTGAATATTTAAAAAATATATAAAGCGAGAGAATTTTCTTTTTTCAATAATTACAGTTTTTAATTATGTTATTTTTAAAGTATAGTGGAAAGAGGTGTAATTAGAAAGAAAAAGTTAAAACTGAAAGAAATTTTTTCATTAATTTTATTTTTCTTAGTTTTTTTTTTTGATTTTGTTAAAGTTTTTCCTTGTTTTTCGTTTTAATTTTTCATAAGAATATGATTAATTGTTTTGTTTTGAATTATTTTAAAGAATGGAAAGTACAGTGAATTTTGCCATTATTTCACATTTTAATAGTATTACATAAAAATAATATTAACCACGTGCTTTTTCCTTTTTTCTCGATTTCCGGATATGAGTAAGTGAAGGATCACGTACGTTATCTAACGTAATAATATTGTTAATAGTTAAATTAGATCTAATTTTTATATATAATGAAAAGCTTGTCACGATACACAAATAAAGTCATAAATGAAGTAAAAACTTAAAAAGGAGTCTTTCAAAAAAAATTTTTTTCGTTTGCTAAATGTAAAATAATTTATTTTTTAAATTTGTAAATTTGAAATTCTTCATTTCATATCTCTTATTATTTACCTCATATCTTTAAGTGTCATATAACACTGCTATAATTAGAAAAAGAATTACATCAAAAGTTTTCCATCGCATCAATGAAAAAAAAATTATCAAATGAAGCTACTAAAGATGTTAATGAAATGATAGCAAATTTGATCACTAAAGTGAAATGCCTATCATACGTTTAAATTTATATACATTTTTTTTTTTATTTTTTAAAATTATTTAAGAAAAAATTTATTAAATAATCAAAAAAAAAAATCGATTAATATAGATGTATTCGTATTTGTGGTTTAATTCAAACTTTTTCAACAATTTTTCATATTTCTTCAAAAAAGAATTGAAGTTTGAAAAACATCAAGGAAGAAAAGTCATTTTCTTTGAAACATAAATTCAAAACTTTAAAGAAAACTGGAAGTTGAGAAATAAAAAAACTTAAAAGTTTGATTTAGAAGAAGAATGAAAATGTAAACAGATGATATTTTAACTCATTTTAAAATACTTTCATTATATTTTAAATCTTTTTTAAGTTGAAATTTGACAGATTGTTCAAATTTATAGCATTTATAATTGCATTTTCATTTCTATCTAAGCAAAAAATAATTATAAAGTTTGTTGAATGAAATTTGTTCAAAATTTCAATGAAATTAATCCATTTAAGTAATTACAGCGTAAGTAATTTTGCTAGAAAAATGGTTGAACAAAATGCATTCGTTAAGCAAATGCTATAAAACTAGTTGCAATCATAGCATTTTAATTTCTTCAATAGTATTAATATATCACTTAAAAAAATTTTTTTGATATTATGCTTTGACATTTAATTACAGTTTTGTAAGTTGACATTTTAATTTGTCTGCTTGCAATCAATTTAATAAATGATAAAATGTTATTGCTTTTACATTTCTTTTTTTGTAGCTGAAAGTTTTACAAAATCATTTAATTTCATCAATAAATTTTGTAAGTAAGTATTTTTTAGTTTGTGAGACAATATTTACTTATTTTTTATTTATGATATATATATGTAATGAATAAGTTTCAAGCTATTATCATAATGCGTGATTTATTTTCAAATAATCAATCAAATCAACATTTTACATGCTTTAAAATATTTCACTTTATTTTGCAAAAAAAAAAAATGCTTAGCATGTGAAAATAAAAATTTTATTTCTTTTAGTTCAGGTATTCGGCTAAATTTATGCATTGGCTTATAAATAACACTATTATCACTTCTGATAACATCATATCACGTTCACGTTTTCATTTTCTTCTTTTTTTTTTTCGTTTTTTCCAATAAAATATTGTTATTTTTAATTAACGAATAAAAAATATATTCCTAACTTCATGTGTGATATTTTTATTTTAGTTCTACTACTCATACAATGAAATCAAATAAAATTTTATTGCTGTAACAAAAAGTGATATTAATAAATCAAAGTGATAAGAATTAAAATGGCTACAATATCATAAAGAATCAGTCAACATGTAAAAATGAATGTAAACAAGAGATTTTATCAATAAATGAAATGTTTCAGTAAAGCTCGAAGAAGAAATCTAATGCAATAGTAACCTTTGAACTTTGCAGAAAGTTATAAGTACGATTGAAACTTTACATTTGATAACAACACCAAAACAAACTAAAAAAATATTTAATGCAAAATGGATGTTATAGAAAACTAATAATTTATTAAAAGTGAGAAGAATGAAGTAAAAATAATTAATGATAATAGGAATTGCTATAATTTGATACGATTATAATTAAAATTATTTGAGGTGAAAATGAAAACAAAGCATATTCTTGTCATTATTATTTTTTTCAGCTTTCTGTTTTTCAGCATTAAGTTGATATTTAAAATGATTAGAGAATGAGAGAGAGAGAGAGAGAGAGAGAGAAAGAGATTTTGGAAAAAGAAATAAGAAATAAAATCAAATAGATCTTATGACGAAACGAATAATCTTCAATTTATTGAATGGATACATATTTTTTTGCAACAAAAAAATCCAAAAACGAATAAATTCATTTTTGTTAAATCAATTTATAAGTACATCTATTTTCATTAAAAAAAAAAATTCAAGTATTGTACACTTCCTACTTCTTGTTTTTTCTTTTCCTTTCATTAAAATTCACGTGAATTTCACTTTTCACTTTTTCACTTTTCTTTTCCTTTCTTTTTGTTCTATATAGCAGATAATTTTAAAAAAATGAATAGTAAAAAAGAGAAATAGGGCAAGTTAATTAAAAAATGATTAAAAATCTAAAGCAATTAGTAAGCAAGCAATAGTATTTTAATTAAATGACTAATGGTTGAAAGAATTAACAAGTGGATAACAGTATTTTATTTTTTGAGGAAAGTAGGTATTAAAAAATAAACAAATTGACAATAATAATTTATTAATTAAGTAAATGAATAGTTGCTGAAGCAAATTAATGATTAAGCAATAGTATTTTAATTAGTTAAATAAACAAGTATTAAAAGAATTAAACAAATATTAGCTTCACAGTTAACTAAATAAGTAATTGAAATAAATTGAAAAATTATGGTATTTAAATACAAAAAATATTTAAGAAAGAATAAGAAAATAATTAATATAAAACAAAACAAAAGGAGTGTATATAAGTGAAAGTAAATTTTAAAACAATTTTTATTTTGTTCTTGTATATATTTTTTTCTTCAACAATTAGAAAATACTTTGATTTCATTTATTCATTTATATTTTACAGTTCATGATCATGAAGTTAATTATTAATCACTGAATTTGTTATAATTTTTCTCGCCGAACGGAATATTTACAACTAAGAATATTCCATATCTGTAAGAAAGTAATTGTCAACAAATTGTTACCATTGCTCTACCAAAATTTTTTTATTGAGAAATTGTTTAATTATTTTCCTATTAAATCATTATTAAACAATAATCCACCTGTTACGAACTGCGCTGATATTATATGATAATTGCGCTAAAGATGATTGGTAGAATTAGGCTAAAGTAAATAGCATTTCAAAATTTGTGCGTCATTTTTGTGATAACCCCGCTATGGTGAAATTTTTATTGGATTGCTATAATGGAAATATATTTTAATCAGATTTAAATTTAACAATTTTATTGTATCGAATAAGATTTTCATAATTCTATTTGCAAAAATTATCACTCAGTATGGCTAAAAATTTCTTAAAGTTTAAAATTTCAAGTTCATTAATTAAGATATAATTCATTTTCACCTCGTATTTTGTACATTTCCAATATTCTAACTAAATCATTTAGTTAAAAAAGCCAATTTAGTTCAATTTTCCGTGATTATTATTAAATTTTGCTATATTTAACTGTGAATTTCCGTCTGACATGTAAATTTCAAAGTTTGAAAAATTTCTAAGAAGTCCTTCTTAGAGATTTTTCAAACTTTTGAAACTTTCCAAAGAAATTTTTCAGACTTTTGAAATTTTGTAAAAAAGAGGAAGAAAAAAAAGAGGCATTATTAACTGAAATATGTGGTATTGCTTACTTTACCAAATATTAACATGAAGGAAATTAAATTCCGACATTTGAGATTTCAGTCCTATTTACTTATGATCACAAGTATATTAGTATTATTTGATGTTTGTGCTTATACTTTTACATTCAGCAAAATTTTTTTTTTTATTCAAATACTTATAATATGCATTAGCTAAATTATATGATTTTATATATAATATCTCTTAAAATTTGACTAACATCATTAAAATCTGAATTACCTTTTTTTTTTGAAAAAACAAAAAAACAAAACACAAAATAAAAGCATTTATACAATCATAACATAATACGAAGTTAAATAGAAAAAGACTTAATTGTAAGATAGCAATTTTGAATACAAATTCAAAAATATCTTATTAATATCATAATTAAATTTAAAATATCATACAACAGAAAATTTCAAGAAAGTGTGATAAAAAAATGTATGTGAAAAAAAGTTGTATCATCTATTGACAACGATATTATTGTAGGGTTTGGCTCGAGGACTGTGACATCGTGTCACAACCACACAAATGACACTGATCCAAATTACTAAAGCAATCATACCAACGAGTAGCCATAATGCCCACCATGCACGTCGATAAGCTGCTAACTATAATTTACCCTTACTTTTTTCATTATTAATTTAAAAATCTTTCAGTATTTAATTAAAAGTATCACTAATATTTCAACAACTAATCAATGAATATTATTTGATATTACCAAAATATCCAAAAATATTACAAGTTCCTTCATTTTCATGCATTAATATGCAATTAACATAACATTTTCAAAATATTCAAAGTAAGTAATACATTATATTTAGCTTATAAACTTTTGACATAACTTTACTGAATTTAGTTAAAGCCTGTAATTACTTAATCAAATTAAAACCTGTAATCGTTCATCAGCAGTTAATTCTTCGCTTAATGTTTGCACAGGTTTTTCACGCAATGATAATTTTTCTAAAAGTGCTGTTTCTTTATTCCAAAAATTTGTCACCGGCCAATGTAAACTACCAATTGCTTTCCTATAAATAATTTAATTCATTATGATTAGAATTTTTCTTATTGAAAGTTAAAAATTTCAAAAACAGAAATAACAAAGTTATACCAACAACTTAACTTTCTATAATTATGGTATTTTTAAAATAACTAAATATTATTGCAAAAATTAAGTAAAAATTTTGAATTAGAAGTGAAACAGCCATAAATATAATGAAAAGAAGGGAAAATTTTAAAATAATTGAAAAAATTTTAAACCTCGGCGGTAAATCTAGAATTGCATATTGCGCGGACTCATTTGTAAACGGTGTCCATTTGAAACCATTCCAATTAGTTGGTGTCGGTTCCCTGTAACCGTTTCCGATAATTAATTGGGAAAACGAGAAAGACAGGAATAGAAGTGGAAAGCAGAAGAAGGATACAATTTAATTTAGTAATTCTTAATTCATAAATAACAAAAGATTCTATTAAAAAAAAAAAAATTTCCTTCTGTTCTTTATTTTTTCAGATAACTAAATTTGAATTAGGATAACTAATTAAAAAAAAAAAATCATTCGAATTAGTTTTTTTTTTTCATTTTTGACATAAATTGAGAATTTTAATTAGAATGAATGAAACATTTATTATTTTACATATTAAAACATTAATTGTATTTTAAATCTAACCCGTATTTGGCAAAATTTGTAATCATTGTTGCAAGCATTTTAGCCATTTGTTGATCTCTTTTACTGAATGGTTCAATATACAAATTATTACTGTAACCATTTGTAAATATGTAAGCATGATCTAGGCCATGAAATGCTCTTGGCCGACCATTCCCTATAAAAATAAGCTATCAAATTAGTCTCAGTGAAACTCTAAATCTTGTTTATTTTGAATTATTTTATTGTAAGTGAATGAATGAAATAGAATTTAAGATCCAATTTGCCATTTTTATTAAACCAAAAAATTGAGTATCAAATGCTTTGATCCTTGCTTGATTGCTTCATTAATAATCCAAATTCCAATTTCTTTATGAAATTGTTAATTTATTTTTATTCTATTTATTATTTCAACGGTATGATCAAATGTATAATCTTTGAATAATTTATTTTAATAACTGTTCTGAATTATTTGCTTGGGAAGTAGCAATACTGGATAACTTCTGTTGTGAGAGAGAAACTTGCATGCCTTTGTGAGTTAAGGGCCATATCGAGATATCATATGTCTTCGGCAAGCCAGACAGGCCTTAATTGATTAGAATGGCACATTAGCTTTGGGGTAATCATTTTAGGAGGACAATCACAATTTCAAATCCGGGCAGGTCAAGTGTAAAGGATAGATACCCTAGTGATGCCTAATACAGGATGCCAAATAAATCACTACCTTATAGATGCAAACTGAACTTCACTTTCAGGCCAAGCCATGAAAAGCTAAAACTAATTACTGCAACCTCGAAAAATAGTTTCCAGGTTAACTACCCTAAGCAGACTTGCAGAGTGTTCCATAGATTTCCTCTTGCACTCATCAAAAATTGCATCTAGCAGTCCTCTGCAGAGTGCTTAGGACTCTCACCAAAAAAAAAACCAATGAAAACAATCCACTGAAGGAAAACAACTTTTCGTCTTGCAAGTAGCAAACTTTAACAGAAATGATTTTAGGACATCGAGAACAGATGGCGGACTAATCTAGTACAAAAGATTCAATTTTAGATCCCGGCAACTACAGAGCACTCTGAAAGTTTTGAAAGCAGTTTATAGACGAACATATCAGGGTGACAGTTCTCTTCTCAGCTCTCATAGCAGTTCCTTCCTCATCGATAAACACTCCATTCTCAGTCGATGTTTTGATCTTCAATGTCCACCGTTCAGTTAACGATTCAATAATTCGCAGATTACTCAGCAATCAGTGAAAACTAAACTGGACATAGGCCCAACTTTTTTTTCAAGGCCATACAGCAAATGCATCTGGAAGCACGGAGGCCAAGTATTTCATCCTTAATTCCACGAGTGAACCTTCCACTGAATCTCCGAGATGCAATTATTATCGTATATTTTCCCATTCTTCTTATCTGTATAAGAAGAATGGGAAAAAATCCAACTACTCAAACTATCGAGGTATTACTTCGTTCTGTATGCCTGGTGAAATTCCTTCATGAATACCTACCTCTAAGTGAACCATTACCCACTATCGCAGAAGCATTAATGATACCATCTACAACTCCTCAAACCCTTCCTTCCATCAGCGCTGCTTTCATACCATCCTAAACGTCAACCACGTCACGAATATCACCGTCCCCGAACAAACAGAGTTCACTACTAGTACTGAGGCCTAATTAGGACTGAATTCGTCACGTCTTCAAGATGCTTTCCTGAATTTATAGCGAAAAAGAAGTCTTGGTTACAACCACTGTAAACCTCAAATCAAATAAAACATAATGTCTATGACATTGTCACCATTTTGAAAACGAACGTAGGAACTATTTCATTAAAAAAAGACAACGCATTAAGAATCGCACGCCATCAATGCCGCTGTGACGTGACCTTCCGCTATGTCATCTGCACTTGCTATATCGCATTGATTTCCTACACAGTCACCAAAGCATTTGTACTATGAGTAAATCTCTTCAGAATTCTTCGTTCGAGAAGCTAAGCCATAGGTAGAATTTCATTCCTTAATCTAACCTAATAAAAATTAACCGATCATTCTGGCTAAGCATAATAAATCACCAATTTATAATTAAATTATTTCAATGCAACTTTCCGATGTGTAAATTTTTACACTGATCCGAATATATTTTAGGAAAAAATTTTTAAAAATTCAAAACATTCCAATTCATAATTGAATATGAGCAGAATCTGGTTCATCAGATTCTTAGCATTAAATTTCCGCGATATCTCAGGTTATTCATATATCGTGCATATAACAATGCAGGAATTTCCAAATGTAAAACCTTGCTTAATCAGTTTTTTTTTCTTTTTGAATAAATTTCTCTATTGAAAACATTTTTGTTGCTATTTCTGAAAGTAACTTAAAAAGATGCTCATAGAAATAGCAGTTGAAATGTTTCCAATAGGTTAAAAACAAACAAAATAATCGGAAACAAACGTCGTATTTGAAGTTCCTTTCGTTTTACTTTAACCGTTTCATGGCCAAAAATAGTATATTTCTTTTGATCTTCCTCATAAATTGGTGATTTTGGGAAATAACTAAATGAATATGCATAAACAGGTATGCCATTCTCCACATAACTGTCAATTTCACGTTGAGCAGGTGCCACGAATTCGATATCCGCTTCTAACTATATAAAAAATTCTATTTTTATTTCATTAATTTGGTGCAATATTGTACATTAATTTTGTAAATTTATGTTTATTAAAAATGTTTATTTTTTGTGTAAAAATATTGAAAAAAGTTATCAAATATTTTTAATTTTTAACAGAATTTTTTGCAAATTCCAATTTTATTCCTGAAGAAAAACGAGAAATAGCAATAAGAATAAATTTAAAAAAATCATACATCTTGTAATCCATAAACAACACGCATTAAGGTACGATTCTTTTCTGGCGTATCAATATATCTAAAACGAACTGACTATTAAAGAAGAAAGGAGAACAATTAAATTCAAAATTATATCAGTTTTTTTCTTCTTGTGTAAGCTCTGTATAAAAAATTTAATTCTTAAATCTAAACAAAAAATATGCTAATTCAAAGAGTACTAGCGCATATATATCATTTCTGATGAAAGGTTAGGCCATTTAATGCTTTTAATTAATTGAAACATAGCTATTATCATTAATCACAACATGAATACGTATTAAAGAAATAATTTGGATTTAAATAAAGTAACAATAAGCTTTAAATACCTTAAGAAGCTAGCATTTGCTATAAGTTCCAATGTTGAATTGTGAAGTTTTTTTGCACAACTAGTATGATAGTGTTCATTGATAATTTTACGAATATTACTATTACAATCCTTAATTGAAACATCTTTAAATTCATTTAAACCATAATCTTGAGCTGAAAAATAATTTCATCGAAAATATTTTAGTGTTAATTATAAAATTAAATCAAAATTTTATAAGAAAAAAAAGATGAATTTCATAGATTTCAAATCAACAAAATTAAATCAAAATTTTATAAGATTCCATATATTTTTCTCTTTTGTATTTTATGATATATCTAATATTATTATATTCTACGTGTATCTCTATGTATTCTATAATTTCACATATATTATTCAACACGTATTCACCACGTAACACATCACGTAATTGTATTGTTTCACATCATGTAATCATATTAACATGCATGTAACCTATCAATTACACACGTATTTCACAAATATTTCATGCATATTTTATCATATTCTTACTTACTTAATTAAAAGAGAGAGACAAAAAAAAAAAAAACCATTTTGATTTTAGAAATTCATACCTTTCTTATGTGCCCATTCATGTTGTGCGACACCAATTATAATTGGAACTCGTGCATTCTTGCTAATTAATTCAGCACCAGATTGTGGTATCAATTCATCATCCACAACCATTTTCGATACTCCTAGCTTTATATCATATTAAAATGATAGTAGAATAAAATATATATCTTTACCTTGTTTTAATTAATTATGAATTTAATAATAATTTATCATTTCATACAGATTTGTAGGAAATACCTCAGTAGCAATTGCATAGCGGAATGAAAATGATGAAAGATTGAGTTCATTTCTAAAACATTCAACCAATTCCATACCACTCATTTCTGCGCTATTCTAAAAATATTAATTTAGAGAAATTGCAAGAAAAAACATTGTTTCATAAAATTAAAAACATATATATTTATTGCACAAGAATTATCAAAAATTAAAGAAAAAAGATAAACAAGAAAAGAATTTGATTAAATTGCTTTGTGTTATTTTATTCGTCTTTTTTTATTTTTTTAATTAGAATCAAGCAGATAAATTAATTAATAATAATCATTTTATACTAACTAATATTTTTTTTAAAAAAACAGAAGAATTTTAATGCATATTATTAATTACTATTAATTACTTATTACATATTGATAAATCATTCCTTCAAAAACTTCATTTAATTTAATTAAATTAACTTACAATTAAACATTCCGGTATTTTTTCTTGCATATTACATTCTTTACTGAGAGTTGGCAATCCGGAAGCTTTTAATAATGGTTCTATTGTTTGTTTATCCAGTTCTTTCTCACATCCAATATATGCCGCAATATTGTTTACACTCCATGCCGGTTGTCCAAAACGATGAATAGCCCAACCAGCTGTTGAGGAACCGGACAACATGATAGCTCGATGCAATAAATCTGGAAATGAGAACCGGATAATATATTTATGAAGATTGTAAATACCATTTATTATTTGATAGTGAAAAAATAATCTAATAATTTGAAGTAACATTTATCACTAAATGATAATTTGCCAATAGTTATATGAAAATTCAAGATGAAGAAGGACTTTGATTGAAGAAAAAAAAAGTTCAACTCGAATCTTTTTTTAATTATATAATTAAAAATTAATATACTAATGCACAATAATTTTATAAGTTTGATAATTTACAGTTATCATAATTTGATAAATTTCTTAAAAAGAATCACATCTCATAAGTTGTTAATTTATTTTGCCAGTAAATACTATCAATAATTATGATGCTATCATCCACTATCACTTCTATTATCATATTTCTTGATCATTCCGATGAAAATAGATTAATTCATCATTTTATAATTTTCTTTTTTCATATGAAATGTTTCTCTTTCAATTAAAAAAAAATTTCACAATATCCTATCAAAAAATTGTCTTATATATATCAGTTGATAAGTATGATAACATTATTTTACTTTTTGTTCTGGGTGATACTGCAAGAACGGAAACAGCAGCTGCGCCAGCACTTTCACCCATAATTGTAACCTTTGATGGATCACCATTTAGCTGTTTAACATTTGTTTGAATCCATTCCAATGCCATTACCAAATCCCAAATGCCAAAATTACCTTCCACGTGTTCGTTGTTCTTATAATTCAAAAATCCTACAACAAAAAAATAATTATAATATTTATAAATTTTTAACAAATAAAAAATTTTTATAATTTTACCTTAATGTATTATAATTTTATTAATTAAGTCTTTACTTCTACTTTTTAAATTAATTAGATCGTTGTTAATTAATAGTCTTTTCCTTTTTTTTTTTTACTTTAATAAATAAACATACCTGTAACTTTAATAAATAAACATACCTAAAAGTCCAAGCCGATAATTAACTGTTATTAATGCAACACCATTCGATGTGAAATGTTTCGTGATTATTTCCATATCGATACCAGTGTCACCTGAACCAGCTAAAAATGATCCACCATGAATCCATACAATAATCGGATGTAATTTCGATTCTTCTTCTGGATCCTACAAAGGATATAATATGAGTTTTATTGAATAAAGCATCTCTGATTAGTTGAGTAATTAAAATGTCTAATTAAGTTTATAAATTTCAGTTAACAAATTCATTCATCCATCATTCAATGCCCATATTTCTTACCATTTTCTTTCATTCAAGCTTATTCACCCAACCTAACCTTAATGTATGACAAATATAAAATGTAAGAATAATGAAAACAAATAATGATCACTCAATGAATTACTATTAAGTCATAATCCGTTCATTACCAACAGCACTGACATTAGCAGAAGTGGATTTTTACCTAGCTTTCAAATAATGTTGACATGACTTCATTCTTTTTTTTGGATGCAATTTCTTTGTTCCGGTAAAGAAATAAATTTTCTTTCAATGTAAATAGCAATTCAAAATTTGTATCACATTTTAGTGGCAACCAATTACTGTTACGGTGGCGAATCAACATTGAAATAATTCGTTAATTGTAAAAAAGTAATTTAGAAAAAGATAAAGGCAAAATGCAATTAATTAAGCTTTTAAATTTTATTAATTTAACATATTTGCTTTTCTGAAATATTCCTAATGAGCAGTCAATTGTTTTTTACTGAGGAAAAAAATTTTAACTAAAATTTTAAATATAGCAAATAATATCTTACAAATGGTGTGAAAACATTAAGAAATAAGCAGTCTTCACTTTCATTCTGCATATTTGAACCGGCAAATTTATCGTGCTTATGAAATTCCATAAATTGTAAACACGGTGCACCGTAATCGAGTGCCGCATGTTCCTGATGCCATCGTGCTCGTTTTACTGGACGCTACAAGAATAAAATTGTTATTTGAATTTGTGATAAAACAAAAAACAAAAAAAAAAAAAGCAAAAAAAAAAAAAGACAGACAAAAAATTCCAATTTAAATCATTTGATTTTATTGATTAATTATATATAGGAATAATAATTTATCGTTTTTCATTACCATATGTTTATTTTATCCTATTTTTATTTCAAAAATGAAAATATTTTGATTGATATATTTCAAATATTTTGCTAATTATAAATAATGAACTTTACATTCTTCTCCACAATAATTAAAATGGCAAATTTTTAACTAAAAAAAAAAAAGATTTTAACTGTTGTCATCAATCATTTCAATGATAACAGTTCAAATGTAAGAATCTAAACCTTTCTTATTTCATCTTTCAAGATATTTTGAACCATCAAACATATCACACATCAGTTTAGTATGCTTTTTTTCTTATCTTTTTTTCAACAAACAAATCACTCAAACATTTCATTTACTGAAATTTACATCACAAAAAAAAAAATGAATTATCGCTTAGAAAAAGAAATTTATTAATAAATTTTATAAATTTTACTTGATTAAATAAATTATTTTATTACAATCTTACAAAGTATTTTTCATATTTTTATTCAAAATATTCAACACAAAAATTTTCGAAAAAAAGAAAAAAAACGAAAAAAAATGAAAAAATTTATTTTCTAAATGAATAAATTTATTGCTAACAAAATTACAGCTAAATATCGAAATTGAAACTAAGATTTCGAATTTAGTTCTACAAGTTTAATTTTTAGGGACAATTTGAAACGAAATTTTGACGAAAAAAATTACATAAAGAGAAGAAAAAAATATCTCAATTACTCAAATATTTGTATGGAAAAAAATATTGAAATATTATAAAAATTTGATAGAATGATATAACAACAAGTTACAGCTACACCATATTGACGATAATTTATAAAAGTGTGATTAAGCTCAAAAATCACAAAAATTCTTATCAATTGCGTGATACGATTAACTTTGATATTTTAGGTATAAATGAAATGTAAATGTCGAAAAATTGCTTAAATCGTACTTTAATTTATTGAGATTTTAACATTTAATATCATTCATTGATAGAATGATAGTTTTACAACAATTTTTGATGATTTCAGAAGTTAAAAATAAAACAAAATTCTTTAAAAATGAAAAATGCAAATGAGGAATAATATGTTATACGCTAATAAATGATAAGAAATAATTTTATTTAAGATCAATAAACTATATTTTTAATTTGAAAAATATATTGAATATGTAATTTACTTTAATTGATATTTTAAATTATCTACAACTAATTATATATGGTTAAGAAAGGGAAAAAGCAGTCAAAAAAGGGGGTAGAGAAAAAAACGTAAATATAACCTTAAATCGTAATGGACCAATAGGTGCTTCAGCATACGGTATGCCACGAAATATTTGAATATAATTATCGGCTAATTTATAAATTTTACCAAGTAATAAACCTTGTTCAACCCAGACTGATCTTGATTTCTCCAAATTTTGTCCCACAATTCCAACAGGTATTAATATTGTAATAAATAGTAATGGTATAATAAATAATAAATATATCATAATGTATAAATGTTGAATATGCAGCAGTGATATGGAAAGCATTTTAAAAAAAAAATTTATGAAAAATTATCACAGAAATATTTTAGTACAATTAATTAAAATAATACAGTGTTTCGTTATTTTTTTTTTCTATTTATTTCTCTTTGATATTTTCTTCTTCAAAATAATTTGAAATTTAATACTATCAGCTACCTAAATATAACAAAGAATAAAAAATAAAAAGAAAAATATCACAAAAATTAAAGGTATAACAAATGAATGGGAAAAGGAATATTAAGAATAATAATACATCATTCAGGATTAAATAATAATAATGATAATTAATAGATGACAATATTAAGTTAATAATAGTAATAGTTATACTAATAATAGTTGTAAATCGTAGTAGTAGTAGTAATAGCAGTAGTAGTAAGAGCAATATTAATGATAATTATTGGAAAAGTTCCGAACAAATGTTCACTTTCTTGTTTCATTGGCAATTGTTGTAGCATTATACTTCCAATCAGAAAAATGACAATTGTTAATTTAATTAATTACTTTATTTAATGCATTTATTCAAAAGATCACATTAATTGATAAAATAGCATAAAATTTGAAGGAAGAATGAAAGGATAAGAATAGAAGGAAGAAATGATTTGATAGAATGAAATGAATAAAATTTAAATGAAGCAATTTCATTTAAAAATTGCAATTGATGAAGAAAATAGCGGGCGAACGGGGAAAAAGGGAAAAAAAGGCGGTTGGGTTAAATAAGCAGTTGTTCCCTTTATACTTTAAGCTGTTTAAAATTTTACATCATTTCCGAATGATATTTCTTCCAAGACACACACACACACACATATATATATATATATATATATACGTACACATACATACATACACACACATACATACACATACATGCAAAGATATAGAAGTGGAAAAGAACAGAGTAAATAAATAAAAGTAATAGTAATGGCATTTAACAGTTATAGTCTTTTAAACAGCTTACAAAATATAAATTTTAATGCTTCCTCTGTCTTTCTTTTCCATCTTCTCTCAGCTAATACGTCTTTCTTGTTTACTTTTCTTCTTCGGAAAAATTTATGCTTATTTCTCCCTGTTTTTTTCCGAAAAATTTGTTCACTAAGAATTTAAAAGTGTTGACAAATTTTATTCAAATAAAAAAAAGGAAAACGTTGCAATAATTGTTACGTAAAAATTTCAATTTAAATTTGCTAAATTATTTATTAACATAAAATGAGAAGATTGCAATTTAAATGAAGAAATTTGAGAAAATGAAAGACAAAGAGAAAGTGGAAACAAAAGCTAAAAAAAATCACCTGATAGATTTATGTTGATTTAATTATCAATGGATAAGCAGCTGTGATAATTTGTAAAACTTTTAGTCAGAAATAATAGAATTAAAATTTTTTATATAAACTGCTGAAATTTATTTGCTGTAGAAAGGGAAAATATTTTGGGTAGTATATGGAAGAATTTATGGGGAAGCACAAAATTCAAACTTCTGACAACAATTAAAATTTTTGGCAAAAATAGAAAATTTTTTTAGAATAACAAGCAGAGTTATAATTTTTTGTATTGTTTTAATACATATACAAAGAGGAATTGTCCATTTAAAAAAAAAATTATTTTTGGCTTCAAAGTTTTCATTCGTTATTTATATCAATCAAATGCGAAAAAAAAAATTAAATTAGCAAATTTATTTCAAAAACAAACAAAACAATTAATGATTACTAGTAGCTGAATTGAGTTTTAGAATAAATCAAATATGAAAATGAATTATGAAAAAAAATTCATTCATACAATTTGTATTAATGCAACAGACATTGTGAACACGTTTTCTTCGGTAATCCTAATGCCAATTTCATATTAACAAATCATTATAAAACCAGTTTAACTTCTTCCTTTTTCAAAATCTTCGTGTCAATTTCTTCTGGATCTCTGATCATAAGTATTGCAATCATTTCAACGACTTATAGCATAAAATTAATTGCTTAAAAATGGAAAATATTTGGTGGATTTTTTTTTCTTCAGATTTAATATAAAAAGAAAAAGTAAAGGGGGAAGAGAAAATTGAGAGTTTGTCCTTATGAAATTTCTAAAAGAAGTATGATATAATCAATAGAAACGAAACGACACTGTAACAGAAGAGTGAAAAAGAAAAAATTTTTTGAGCATGATTCATTTTGGGATCGAAACAACCTGAGAAGAAATAAAAAAAAAAATGTTTAAAATTCGAAAATAAGATGCAACAGTAATGGAACATTCACATAATAAATAATTGTTTAATATTAGTTTCGAATTGTAGAACTGCAAATGAAAAAAAAAAGATACGAATAACTTAATGAATGAAAGAAAAATTTTTTTTCAAATTCTTTAACATGGATATTGTTTTAAAATAATGAAGAAAACAATTAGATTTTGAAAAATTTGCAATCTCAAGTGAGGATAATTTTTTTTTCCATAAAATAAAATGAATAATAAAAATGTGAGAAAAAAAGTAAACGATGAGGAGATCAACCTAAAATAACAATCACAACATGTTGAGATAAAGAAGAGCAGAAGAAGAAGCACTGATGTATATAAGCAAAAGCTATTTCAATAAAAAACATTTCCACATCAAATGTTGAGAGAGAGAGAGAAAAAAAAAGTATAAATAATATATCATTTCAGGTAGATAAAAATTGATTGTAAATTAATTTAACAAATGTAAATTAGATTTGGATTTTTTCATCATATATCTGATTAACTCATTCTAGTCTATTTATTGCTTTATAGCAACCAAATAAGAATTAAAATTCGAAAAATATAAAAAAGAAGAAAAAATTACTGGCAAACTATGTGCCAAAAATAAAACAATAAGTAATCTGAACTAATAATCGGCAATTAATTTCAAATCCATTATAACAATTGCATTAAACTTTTGCGACAAAATATTTCTTATTGATTAAATGACAGATGCATTCCTTGCAATATGATAGCAAGAAATAAACAACTGATTTGAATGTGATCATAGATTACAAAATACGAATAATACAATGACGGCGACAAATAAATTAATGAAAGCAGAATGAGTAGAAGCTAAGTTACACTTATCTGTTGTACAAACACACATTCGTTCAACGGCACGAAGATCTGATCCTGGTAAACTGGATGGTGTTTCCTCGCATAAACCAATTTGAATACCACCATCCGTCTCATTTAGACAACCACGTTTCACTGTTGTATAACCTAAAAAATTTGAAAGGAAAAAAAAATGTGAAAAATAAGTAAAATATCAAAGGTAATTTATATATGAATAAGTAGATTTACTAAAAAGTTAAGATTAAAAGAATTGTTTTTTTTTAAACTGATGAATTTTGTTGACCGATGTATGACTGCTTAGTTTTAAATTGAACTAACTCTAGAATATACGAGTTATGTTTTGACAAATTTACCGATCAGACTTTCTTCGCTTGAAATTTGTCTTTGGTGCAAATTTTAAACCACCGAATGGCTTGGCTTAATTTAAAAACTTTTGAAACAGATATAAAATATTTTTTGATGTATTTCAAACTCATAGAACTTGTTCTATTAAAAGTAGCTAATTAGAATAAGATAACCATCGGCAATAAATTCCGCTTTGTAGCAATATCGCCCTTCGCATACATCGTTACAGTTTGGAGTGCTACCTGGACAATTATAACATTCATGAAGACGATCACCTTAAAAAGAGGTAAATTCAAAAATATGAATTAAAATAAACATCATTGTTCATAAGGACAAACATATTTATTACAAAAGGAAATATTAGCAAATAGTACTAAAAATTAAGCACTAAAAAATTTGCAACAATTTTATAAAGCAAAATGCACATAATAATGAATAATTTGATGCTATCATTATTATTATTATGATCAAAAAAATAGTGAAAATTTTTCTAGAATTTTCATAGTTTAGCTACAAACCAAATAAATCAAATTTAAGAAAAAATTTTTCCTTCATGCATTCCCTAATAAGATGCATTTCATTTTTTTAATTTTCAACAAACAGATGCAAAGAATTCTTTTAACACTTTCCCTCATTATAAACGCAATGATCTCATTTACTGTTTCAAAAACAAAGAAATTATTTTTTATTTTTACCAGGTAGATTTATAATAATAAATACAAAACTTTACATCAAATGTGGGAGTTCTTTTGTCGTATCCTAATGAAAAACATTTCAGTTTTTAACTGAAAGTTGCGTTTATTCTTTTATTTATTACTCACAAACAGTAGTTCGGTTAGTCGTTCAAACCTCCCTCACATTTATTCAAAATATTCAAATTATTCAACATCAAATATTAACAAAACATTCAAAAATAAATAATAACCTGTTGGCTCTCCAATATTTTCAATGAATAACAATGAAATTGCCAAGAAGAGTCTATACATCATTCGTATTAATATTAGATCAGTATTACGGACAAATTTTTAACCTGAAAAGAAAAAAAAAATGAAATTTTGAATGATTTAAATAGTTAATACCTTGAAATCGCTTTTAATTATATTATTTTTTTAAGGAAAATAAAAAATGAAACAAAGTACGTGTTAAACTAATTATCTCAATTAAGCATATAAATTCATATAAACATAACGTAAATGCGTGGATAATTTGTTATAATGAATTAAGCTATACTTTTACTACTTTTTCGTTATAATTATTCATGTATGGCTGATCGTTTACACGTAAAATTGCACGCTTAATTGACTGTAATAATTATACGTGCAGTAATTTCAGTAACGTTTGATGATTTATAATTTGAAGGAGTAATGTTTATACTGTTTATTAAAGATCTATTAACACCATAAAAATAAATTAAAAAAATTAAATTTTCATTTCAACAATTCAATATTCGTTTCCACTTCACATTAAAATTCTGTTCCATTTTTATATTATTATTATTATTATTATTATTATTATTATTATTATTATTATTATTATTATTATTATTATTAACAACAATTAAATAGAAACAATAATAATAAATTCTTTCAATATAATCTCAAATTAAAAGG